GAGATCAACTCTAAAAAAAAAACGCAGCTACCTTTCAACTCTAAAAAAAAAAGCAGCAGAATTCTAAGGAGAAAGGAAAAATTATTGAAGAGAAAGGAAAAACAATTAAAGAGAAAATTTTTCCAGAAGCAGGGGGAGCTTACACACCCCCACACACCCCCTTTAGCCACGGCACTGGTTGATCCTAATTAAATCGGAGGTATGTGCCACCGCCAAAGGTATAACTTTTTCGAAAAAGCAAATACATCTCAGTAGTCACGAAGGATAGCTTAATAAACGCTGAAAGTGTCATCGAATTTGAAGAACATTTTATATATGCGGGAGATTTCTGATAGAATATTACACCAGAACAACCCTACTGCATAGGCATATCATTCAAAGAAATAAAATAAACATGAATGTAAGGTTGGCAAAATATTATAAATTTCGTATAATTGTAGTATTATAATCGCATTTTTAATACGAGGCTATCGTTTTAAACGGCACAATAAATTTGTTTAACTATCTATTATTTTTATTGGTTATCCGTCATTTACCTCAATATAAGCGGAGAAAATAGAGGGAATACGTTTTTCAGTTCACCACTTTGTAATTTGTAAATCGTTTTCCACCTGCGTGCACTATATTATAGATTACTTATGAGAATGCTTTTTCTTTGTTTAAACATGTCACCTACTGTTGTACATGCAGCAATTTATGATAGATATAAAAGTTACAATTTGGGGGCAGTACTAGCTTGAGTTTACTACAGATTTTACTCAGTATGTATGTAGCGGAAGTGTTCCTCAGAATAGGGGGTTTGCTCAATACATCACTTATTTTCCTGACGTTTAGTTCCTATGAACGAGCCTGACTAATGACAACGCTTGACCCGAAAAAGTCTAAAGGGTGAAGGGAATCAGCGTTTCTAATGCTAAGTATTATACCTTAAATGAGTATTATTAATGCTAAGTAGTATACCTGTATACTTTGTTGTACATCTTGTAAAAAAACAAAATACTCTGATTGAGAAAGCAAGGTGTATTTCAAATTTTCAAAGTTTACGTACACTTTGGCATTAGAAACGCTGTGCAATTTATATGCAAAATTTAATTTTCTACAGAAAAAATTAATTCTCAAAAGACTTTTGAGAGAGCTTAACTCTTCGATGGAAAAGCCCAGCTTGAAACCGTTAGACGCGATTAGAAACATGACAGAAAAGTGACATTTTCTTTAGATGTCTTTTATTTAGTGGAGAAAAAATATGCGAACTTATAATATCGAAGAAAGATATTCAATATTTGACAGTATGAACTGCATAAAAGTAAAATTCCATTTAGTCTTTGTGTAAATCCCAAGTTTTTATCTAATGAATTTGTCTATTTAAAAACCCCAAAAGTGCATGAAATGTGTTAATGTGTCGATAACACGAACCAAACGATAATTACAGAATTCATTCCCCTATGTCGACTTTTTGAACACTTGAATCTTTCCAATTTAATACAGACTTTTGTACTCACATCCAACTGCTAAGTTTTCAGATCATACATTCTGCGAACTTATAATATCAAAAATTTATACTGTTTGTTCAACCTGTGATAGTGAAAAAACTGCTGAGCTTTTTAAAAATATACTTATTTTGTGGAACTCGTTATAAATTTATTAAAACATCTATGCAAAAAATAACTTCAGATCTTTCATATTATATGAATAGCGGTCAGTAGCGGCTGTCATCACCGAAGCATTTGAGGCCTTCTGTACCACCTCGAAGGTTCGAGCCTGTAGTGTATCCCTGAAAAGCGAGTTTTACAGCAAAAAGCGTCCCGCGTACTTTTGTTTGAGGCATTGTGCCTCAAACGTCCTACAGGATAGACGAGCATGACAGCGGTAATACGTACGCGGCTTTCAAATCATCCTAGTGGGAAGCAATACGTCTCCTTTCATTCAGACTTTTGATAAATATGCTGCACAAGTCTTAGGGCAATTGAGAGAACGCTGTTTGGAAAGGTGAGGGTGAATTTGTCTTAGCCGTTCATAGTTGGGTTGTACAAAAGCAACTCGTACCAATCTTTTGTGTTAAATACATAAAAATATGCAATTTTAGATCCTGTGAAAAAACAATGGAATCCCAGAATCCTATGTCAACTGCTAATCAACATATTGAACGAGACTGTCATCAGAGTCAACGTAAACGACAATCATGGATATATTATAATAATTCATGCTCAGTAAAAACGTGCCTACAACATGAAGTGAGAGATGAAACTTAGTAACTCTTTAGTTTTCCACTATTGTGATCTCATTTTAGGCAACAAACATAAGATGTGACACATGTTTAAAATCTTTTTGTCTAAAACATCGTTTTCCAGGTACTCATAACTGTTCACAGGAAAATACTTGCGATAATGTGAATAGTGAAATTAGGTGAATTTTGAGTGATCTTCAAAAGTAAATTATTGTTTAGGTGACTATTTATTTTTCTTAGTATCTCACATGAACGATTGCTTTCGTCACCAACAGATAATTACAATTTTTCAAATGGTGCAAGAGAAACCGCTCCTTTACATCAACAGCAACGACGAAATCAGTTAAATGTAAGATTTTGTTCACTTGAATAAAATTACATTAGAATAAGACTGATGACTTCTAGGATCGTAATTATTCAGCATTGTCCTCTTCCGTAAAACAAGTTGATCTCAATCATTTTTGGTCAGATGCAATAAAAACAAAAAGTTTAAATACAAGTCAGCATGGTATGTAGTTTTGTTTACACTTGTGTGGGAAATCAGTAGATGGTTTTTTTGGGTTCATTTCTTACAAAATTTAATAAAAGAATTTGAAGGATGGTAAAAATGGTTGATTCTTCTTTTAAGGTCCGGCAAAATTGAAAGTAATCGATTTATCGCCGCAGAAAACTATTCAGAAGAAAGCAACGAGTCGAAAACCACCTGCCAAAAAGTTAACTACTGGAAAACCGCGAGAAACAATTTTGAATGCTCAGCCAACGAACAGTCGTTATAAAAATATGGATTTATCAAATTTATTGGATATGAACAATAATACTATGTCCAATGTCATGTTATCAAATTCATCAGTCACAGAATTATTTCCTCTTTCTAAACAATTAATAGAAAAAGTACAGAAGAGAAAAAGATCTTTATCTGCAATACCTCGAAAACGTCGACGCGATTCGTTTTCATCGGCTGAAACATTGTGCAGTGATACTACATCGCTATCCTCAACAGATTATCCAGTAGATTGGAATACATCAATGGATCATTCATTATCAAATGATGACAAACGAAATAAAACGGGTCATTTTAAATGGAGTGATGATGATCAAGAACAAAATGAAAAAGAAAATAAATCTGAGGTATCTAATAAATTTTTTGAGATAAATTTTTCTGTCAATAAAGACTATTAGAGATTATTTTGAATTATTGTAGTTTAATACAGATCAAGAATCATCAGTCGTTGTGAAAAAAACTCCACCATCAAGGAAACGAAAACGTGTAACTACTCAATATATATCTAAAATCCCTTGTTCAATTTGTAAATCGTTAATATACTATTGGCAAGAATCAAATTGTTTACCCCGTACGAAATTGGCTATATTTGAACATGAAAAACAAAAAGATGAACAAGAAAATGTGAATGATTTATGTTGGCTTCATAAAAATGAGAATAAATATTTTTGTTTTGCTTGTTCAACATTTACAAAAAGTAGAAACGAAAGTGTCAATAGTATTTTATCAAATATAGGTAGTAAAAAACAATTGGAAAAACATGAATATGCAAATGAACAACATAAACAAGCCATGTGTAATTGGGTTGAACAATTGGCTATTGATTATCTAATGTGCCATCCAAATGTAGCCATGAAAGTTAAATCATTCAGATAGATTATCTTTTCTCGCTTTTAAATCTAATCAAGCTAATCATCTATTCCACTTTTTTTGTATGTATGTCTTGCGAAATACGATTGTTCTTATTGTTGTCAAGTATTTTCGCTCATTTTTTATTAAAATCAAGACTATTGTTTTGTTCTATTTAACTCACATAATCTTTTCACTTCTTATGAATTCTTTATTATTTTATCTGTTTTTTTTTATGTACATAAGTATAAGAAGATAAGTTTAAACGGGTCAACTACAATATCAGTTTTGTCTATCAGCATTTTCTTCATTTAAAGACGGATACTAATAAAGTTACAGCTGTCTTATATAGAATAACTGATAATATCTGTTGATAGAAGCATTATACGTGTTGTTGATAGTCATGTTGATACAATATAATCTTCTTAGTAGACAAGTTAATGCAACGCATAGTTCTTTTTTTTTACATAATTGCTCTCTGTATGTTCTCTTATCTAGTTATCTATTTTTTTGTATTCCAGAAAAACTTATTTATGTTTCTTTTTTTATTGAAAAACCTGAGATATTTTTGTTATATCTATTCCTTATTTTTTTACTGCAGTGAACTGTTTTTCTTTGGTATGATATTGGCTCAGTTGTGTTGTGTATTCTTTTATTGTTCTCTCAAAAGGCGTAAAACAGTCTTTAAGGATCTGAGATAATAAAACTAAGAAGAGAAAGTTAATTAAACAATGTTCTAGTTTTTCTTCATTCATCCAGAGACCATGTATTTAAACAAGCACTTTATTTTTATTCTCTGATGTTTTTCTAATACCTTGTAGAGAGATATTCATCTGTTCCTGGTTAATTGAAGTTAGATGAAAACTATGGAAATATATTTTGATTGGGTCATACATTGCAAATCATTGAAGAGAAATCTATAGCATTGACTGTTACTTCACAATTTGAATACTCTTAGGCAATATTTGTTTGCTTTACTGGAATAAAGAATAAAAACTTAATTTTCTACGTATGTAGGACTCCATCCCCATAAATACCCTCAAACTTTGTCAGTTTGAGGCGGACACCTGACTACATATATCCTTAAGTCCTTTCAATGAACTGAACAATATTCGCAGAGTTATTAATTAATTAATTAAATTTAAATATGATTGCTAGCTTCTATTTTGCAAAGTTTGCAGCTCAATCAGAAATAATCGTAGAAAAGTCATTCTTGCATCGCTTAATAGCCGATGATGTATTGTTATAGTTTCATGAAAAAAATTTGAAAAACGTTTTTTCAAGGCACTGATATATAACTAATCAATGCTAATGAATGCTCATTAGCGTCACTCTAGTACCTTACACTTTTATTTACAAATTAACGATTTATTGTAAATCATGAAGTATTACATCATTCAATAGAGATTTTCAAGCGGTGCAAAATCTTATTGTCAAAAAAATCAACAAGACGCTAGTTAAGACCTAGTTTTTAGGCGTACCTGGCTTCTGAGAGGGTTATGTTTCCTACTTTGTATAGGAAGAATAGGCAGTTTTCAAATGTGTTTGTAATATCGTTTTGCATGTAAGTGTGGTCATAGATAATTTATCTGAATAGCATAGTTTCACAGGTTTCCAAGAGCATGAAGAAAAGTGCCCGTCTTTAAGACCCTGTTTCGCTGGAAAATATGCCCTAAACAATATTTACATCACGAAAGAACATCCATAAAGCACTGAAACCGTCTCCACTCAATAGAGCACCCTTGATAACCCAATAAAACATAAATAAGAAAAACTTTATCGTCAAAGTTTTCGATTTGTAAAAAATAAGCTATTTTCGCAAAGCAAAAGGTCGAAAATTCTGTCAGAGTCTATTTTATCAATATTTTTCATACCTTGAACTTCTAACAAGCAGATAAAATGAAATTATTCATCGAAAGACAATTCTATTCTACTCCGGATTCCAAATGATAGGAAAGAAAACAATGACTGCGATAAAAGATTATCATTTTCTAATTTTATTTAACAATATACCATATTAACTAACATTTCTTTGTAAACAAGACCGTAATACACGTTCGTTGAGCTCTTTAGCGAACTGAAAAACTTAAATAATCCATTCCAGACTCTCTCTCTCTGAGGGTCTAAAGATTCAGAAAGAGGCGAGAATATTTTGGTCAATTAATTTTTTTTCATCACCGCTTCTTTTGGTTTATTCAAAAACGAATATTTTCAGTAAAATCCTCTCTGTTAGTCACATACCATTTGATAGAGTACTAATCTATATTGCGCACAAAGGTTTTTTTCAACGTTAAATTAACACAAGGATGGAGGCTAACGATCGTAAGTTCAAAATTACTCTTCAGTAAGAAGCATAACCGAAATCAAGGTGTCTTTTATTGCTAGGTACATATTTTACTACCATTTTCGGACATGCTCAAAATAAAGTGTCTCCTGAAACACTCCCTTAGACTATGTTGGAAAGTTACTTTTGAAGGACGATGCAGGTTTGTCTTCAAAAATCCTAAAAAGTTCTGTGCAAATGCGTTTTGTCGTGCTCTTCGCTCTATATAAATGCATGAGAATCAAAAAAATGAAAAGAGATGATTGGATGTGAATTCACTTACCTCGAGTTACTGATTGTTCTAGCCCTGTGTGAGAAACAAGCGATAATCACTACGCAAAGAAGAATATGCAATTGGTTTAAGGATGATGTGGGGTACAATGCCTGTCTCACAACTTATTGGTAAACGTAGGGGAAGAGGACGTCCCCCAAAAAAAATTAGCATTACAACAAGACTAGAAAAATTAGCTTATTCTTTTTTTTTATTTGTGCTGTATTCTTGTAAGTGCTGCAAAACGTTTTGCATTGAAGAATTGTTTTGCCAAAAACTGCACTGTTTGGAAGGTATAATATATGAGGGTGTAAGAGCTTTTCCTATTTATTAATTAATTAATTATTCCGAGATCTTTTATGCAGATATGCTTAACTAACATTTTCCCAAGATCTTTTCTGTCTTTATTTCCTTTCGAGATCTATTCTGCTAATCTTTCGAGATCTTTTATTTTCACGTCTATTAGATTATGTTCAAGTTTGTTTTGTTTAAACGAACCTACAAAAGTCTTATTGCTGAACTTTATGACATGAACCTTTTTACCGCTGTTCTTCTCTACTTGATCAAAAGCTTTGGGATGTTGGTAAGTGTGTCAGAATATATGTTTGAATAGTGTAGCTTATCTGGTCTAAAGGAAATAAGTAGTGATAGCATATTCAAAGTCACTGAGTGTTTAATGCTAATATACTTACATAAGTTCTAATACAATAACCTTTTTCCGTTTTTTTATATAATGTATTCTGAATGTTTTTGTTTAAAAATATGATAATCTCCTAGAAATCTAGTTCTTCTGAATCTTCGTTTTGGTTTATTTACATCCTTCACCATTCTAACTAAATATGGTGGCCAAGGTGGTCTATAATTTTTAATTGGCTCATATTCATTACATCGATCACATAATGCAGCGAGAAATATTGAAAATAGCTCAAAAAAGCAATTGTAGTCGACATTATATACAAACGAATGCCAGTATGGATGCACACTACTTAAGAAAAAACTGAATAAAGTCCATTTAGTTTTTCTAAACAACCCATTCTCTCCTGCTACGAAAGGACTAAAGTACAAGACTGGAAAGTGGTCAGAATCTCCTTCCTCTAACCTTTCTACACCCCAACCTTCACAATCTTTTCCAATGCAGAAATCAATGACTGACTTTGACTTTTTTGATGTTTGCATAGTAGAGTGAATAGTAATGAAACCGTTCTCCTCTAACCACGAATGAAGTTTATTTCCACTAGGATTAAACTTTTCACAATTCCAATCTGTATCTTTACAATTAAAGTCTCCAAATCTTCACATCCTCCTCTTGTGCATGCCAAAATTAACTGTGTTGTAGTAGATTCAACAGAAAATTTCCTTTTGTTAGAAATGCAAATTTTGAATGAAAAACTCTATATCGCAAATGTTTATGTCCCTCCAAGCTGTACACCACCGTTCGAAATGTTTGAAAAACATAAAGAAAAAAATATTTATGTTTTTGGAGATTTTAATAACATAGGCGGGATTAAGCCATTTCTTTCATCGTGATCAAAAGAATAAGAAAACACACAAGAAATTATATAGGTGTTTTTCTCTACAAATGACTGTGTGATAGACTAGTATCTTCTGTACATTCAGTGATCGGATGATTCTTCTATAATAAAATAAATCTATAAAAAAATGCAGTACTAGTGAGTAGAAAAAAATATTTACACAAATAACGTTTCGTTCACCTCAATTGCACAATCACAACATTATCGATCCAGCAATACATCTCCCCAGGATAGAAGACCATTAGTCTTCTACTGTGTCTGCCGAAAAGACCGAAAAAGATGTTCTATACCTGTTTTCAAAAAAATTTCGCTGACGGGGTCTGGTCTTCTATTCTGAGAGGAGATTTACATATCACTTAATATACTGCACAAAAGAAGAAGAAATTTACATGTGCAGATTATCGTTCGTTCATTTTAATATTCACTCGGATAAAAGTTTATATAATCTCATTAACGTGAACAGGAATTTCCGACTCATTACTATTTTCGTTTAGAATAAATATAAATCAAAAGTTCAATTTCGGGTAGTAGCATTCAGCCATTTTCTGAATTCTCAAATTTTTTGCTTATCCTTTGCTTGGCGTTCTTATTAGGAAAATGTATGAACGCAGCTAATAAAACTACTGCTGATTACTCCTTTGTTTTTTGAAGTTAATTAGCTCATTTATGTACCATTCGAATCAACACATGATTATACAAAAATGTATGGGTCGACTAAGAAATTATTTTGCGGTAAAGGAAAGCTCCGCAATAGAGACCTGCAATCCGATCCGAACCCGATCCGACCCTATCGGGTCGGGTTCGGGTTGAACATTTTGCGGCACAATTTAAAATATCGATAATAATTTCAGTTTTGTATTACTCATTGAAAGTTATCTGCACTGGAATTTGTAGTTGAAAT